CTGCAATGGTATTTTTCCATTTAGAGGAGAATTTCACAGCCCTTTAATCATTATTTCTAAGTTTCCCCTCTCCCTACTGATATTTGTTCTGATTCTGCTATTAAATTGTCTCTCTAGTAACGGCTGTAGTGGGTTTCCAGAAGTTTTACAGTCTGTCTTTTGATAAAGCCTGGCATCCTTTGGTGCTTAACTTAAAAACAGCAACATAGAAACTGTTTAAAACAGAAATATCTAGCAATTTCTTTACATTTGCTTTCATGAAAATAGTTAAGGAGAATGATTATTCTGATAAAATTATGTTAGCAAAGTGGTATAAGTTTGGTTGGCAGAAAATTTCTTCTTAGACATTAAAAAAATTGGATGGAGAGTATTTGGTACTTGTTGAGTTTTCTGGACATATATTCTTGGTCTGTCCTTTCATATCTTCCTCCAGCATGAGGTGAAAACTGGAGAGCTGTGTGGATAGCTAGTGAGACTGGAAAATGCTACCAAGGAGTGTTCCACGCATAGCGTAGAGCAGCATGTACAGCCTGCCTCCATTGTGAAGCTTCCAGGGTCCCTCACCCCCTTAGAACCTGAGGGTGGTGTTTTTCTTGTCCTCTGCTCAGCAGTTCTCGGTGTGAGTATATGTCCTTGATAATGTATGTATATAATTGGTGTATTTGCAAAATCCAAGTCTTTATGTGGTGAAGGAAATGATTATACCTCAAGTTACTATATGACCCAGGTAAAGCATACTCACTGCCCTTCCTTTTTTCCTCCTAGACAGAAATTGAGGTAAAGAGAAATACAGATAATTCCAGTGCTGTACCACAAACCTTTATTGGAATTCTGTCTACCAGTCTGGAGCCCTGATCCCTGTCTTCAGTAAAATTAGTCACACTAAAATATGCTCAGGATACAAGCAATTATTAGAACAGAAGATGAGCCTCTAAATTACAGACAGTTCTGCAATAAAAATGGTAAATTAAAAACTTGGGCTCATAAAAAAATTTTCATCTACACTCAGGCTTTTATTCAGACATAAAGCTACATGCATACCTTGGTAATGACAACTTCTTGTTGAAATCGCCAGAACCTAATTATTCTTTCACACACATACAGGACCACAGGGCCTAAAACCCATTTCCAAGCCTGCAGAGAGCAGCAGAGAGGGAGGAAAAGGAAATGAAAACGGAATCCAAATATTTTCAATTTTAACGAAATCATTATATAATATGATGGAGTTTAAATGTTGTGCTTTGCCAGTGACCAACAGCAAAGATGTCTCCTTGTATTAAATACTAAAACGTTCAATTATTCCTTGAAGTTTACAAGCTTATTTAAGAGATTAGGCTCTTATGTATTTGTTTTTATGCTTACTTGGTCAATGATGCCTTTATGTAATTAGAAATAATTGAATTGGCAAAGAAATAAGAAAGTAGATTGATGTTTATGTTATATATGATAGGGTCATACATGCCTCCAAACTCAGCCAAAGTCAAAGGCTTACAAAACTACGTTACTGAGCCAACATAGGGCTTGGAAAGTTAAATTAAAAAAATAAACAGTCATTTTTTTGGGCCAACAATGAATGCATCACAACTTGGAGGTTTGTACGAATACACACAGGCAGGCGCGCACGCGCGCGCGCACACACCCACACACCCACACACACACACACACCCCCACACACAACCAAAGTAATCTGGGATAAAACGTAGTTTCTCAGCACTCTAAATTTAAAGTTTATGGAATCAGAACAAGTGCCTCAGCAATTTTTCTGGAGAATTGTGACAATGAAA